CCCCCTACTTTTAAAATGTATAGATTTGTCTCTGTGTACACAGAGAGCAGATATGAGTAAGAAGCTGTCTTTTTATATAGTAACTTTTTGGAGTAGAACTGCACTTCAACTTTTTTAATGGATTTGAGTCTAACAGAAATGGATGAGAAGTGCTATAAAGCAATATTGGCCATATTCTTCCCATGGAAGTACTGATAAAGTTATACATTTATGTACATGCATAAGTTGTTGCAGAAATGGGGTCAACTTGTGATCAGAGGGTTCCGGAAAAGAGAGGTTAAAAAGATTCTTGGACAAAAAGAATCAGAAACTCTCTTCAGCTCCTAAAATCTACTGTTTTAAATGAGGTGAAATCTCATGATTTACTACTCAAAGTTGCTTACATCATGTATATTTATCAAATTCCTAACTTTACATATGTAGAAAACTTCATATTTACCTACCTTAATAAAGTTATTAACTAGAAGTGTCAAACATAACACCATGAGTACATGGAAGAAAAGTTTCCCAAGTCTATTTAGCAAGCATCCCATTTTCATGTTTTTCTAGAAATTAAACGGATTAGTATTTTAGTCTTTTAAAACAAAAGATTTAGGATTTTATACATCTGGAACAAGAGATAAAATAAGCTGCTTCAAATTATTTGTTTATTTAAATATGATCAAAAACTAATATTGCATTAGCCTAACACAAGCAAGCAATTAACTTCAGCCACATATGTAGAATTGTGTAAATTTCTACACAGGAGGAGAGGGACCAAAGGTGTACTCACAGCACAGAGCTCCTGTAACCTCATTGGCCTGGCTGAGCTCTGTTGATGGCCAAGTAGATTCTCAGGATCCTCTCTGAGGTGGCCTCTTTGTGCCTATCTAGTTTCCCAACCTCAGCACTTCCTCAGAGGTCTAGACTGATTTGGACCTCAAACACCATGTGTGTTCTCCAGGTTGCTGTGGAAATCAGTATTTTCTCAATGTGCCAATGGGACGAAGGGCATGCTCTTAATTCAGCATGAGTATCAGCTAGACTGCATGGCCTTCTGGATGATCTCCCAGTTTAAAGCTTCAGATTTAACAATGCTCCTTGTCCCACTCACAGGCAGTTTGGGATGGGAACAGATATTGTCTAATTAGATGACAACTAATAGGACAACTAATTAGACATCTAATTAGACAACTGGTTTGACTTAGGGCTCCTTCCTACAAAGGATTCTGACGGCTTGGAGTTAAGGATCCCATCTGAGTCCTACTGAAATCAATGGGACGCTATGTGTGTAAAGGTCTGTTCACACATGTACCTTTGCAAGATCAGGGTCTCCGTTTGCATAGTTGTAAATGTTAATAGCAAGTATAGAATTGTGACATTGCTGATACCTCCCAAATTGTAACATTTTAGATGTACCCATTAATTATCAGTAAGAGTAATCACTGAGCCTTTACTCTGTTGGAAATCTTCTAACCAATGGTGATAGCCTGCTGAAAATGACTGCCCTGCGCCTTTAAGCAGGGGGCTATTTGGCTGGCTGGTGGAATGAAAGGTACTGTGCTTTATGGCTTTTGGGGGAAGGGGATGAAAACTGCTGCAAAAGGGTCAGCGTGGTCACTGACTCATCCCCTAGGAATGCAGGGTTTAAAAGGGGCAGCTTGGGCATCCTGGGGCACCAAATTATTCAGGGAGGATGGGGTTCCCCTGTAAAGCTTTGGAGCTCATTTGTTTTGGCCGACATAAAAGAGGGGCAGTAAACCCGATTGGGTTTGAGGAGGAGGCAGCCAAACTAATTGCTGCTGCCTGTGGCAATGTCCAGTGCAGGTACTCCATAGGAAAGGTATACAGTGACTGGATAAATGGCTTGGAAAAAGACTTATAAAGAGGTATTCGTTAAAGGAACGAACGGGGGGTGGTTGGGGTATTGACTCCATGCTATACCAATCATAGGAGTCCCCATTCTTATAGCCCACCTTAACTCTCCTACAAGGGACGGTGGATGGTAAGGTCCTGGCAATGGATTAGCTGGAGGGACTTGGATGGAAAAAGAGGGGGAGAAGGTAAAAGCCCCATGGGTAATTTCAGACTAAACATGGGGTTACCTGCACTGTACCCTTTTATTTGCCGGGTAGTCCCAGACATCTAATAATAAAGTTGCAGCCTGATTAAACCCATGTCAAATGTCTCCAGTCCTTCTTTTGGTATAGCCAGACTAAGAGTGTTGAGGAAGGAGACAGATTTCTCTAAAAACTGAACTACTTTTAAATTTGTCATACTGCTTGTTTACTATTACAAAACAAAAAAGGTTTTGAGCACGTACCTGAACTGTTCTTGCTAGCAAGACTGACACATTAAAACTTATAAGTAGGGATCCAAGAATCATGGAATTAAAGAACTGTAGAACACAGACCAGCAGTATGCCTGTTAATTGTATAATGTAGAGCCATGTAACCTGCAACAAAGAGATGTTATGCATGCCAAAATATCTTTAAAAAAATTTGCTTTTCCCTGAACAAAAGTGAGTATTTTTTACTGTTGGTCTCTTTCACTTATGTCAATCACTTCTAGTGATAAATGTGGTATTGTGAGTTTCAGAACATCACATTCAGTGGTACTATCCTATCTTTGTAAAATATTCATACACAAGAATCAATAATTAGGTTAATAGTATTTCATGTTTTTGTTATGAATGTTTGATGCCACAGTGACCTAAGCATATGAACGTTACAACTAGGAAAAAGTTAATCACATAAAATGGTTTAAGCATCTTGGGGAAGTATCTTTCTGTGCCAGCATTTGGGATCACAAATATTTTTGTGCTTCTTACAGGATTATCGTTGCCAGCAAATGACAGTTGTACACAAAGCAACTAAATTTTCTTGAGCTTCTTATGAAACTGCAATAGATAAGGATGCTCAACTGGATGTTCATGTTAAAAAATAATTGATTTTGCTGATGTATGATACTGTGTGCTTCTTTTAATTAGTACTTTGCATATGGTAGATCCAGAGTTCAATGCTGGATTCCAGCATTGGCCTAAATCAGTGGTTCCCAAACTTAAAATTGGATCTTATCTATTTGGTATTGATTTAGGGCAGTGGTTCCCAAACTTGTTCCGCTGCTTGTGCGGGGAAAGCCCCTGGCGGGCTGGGCTGGTTTGTTTACCTGCCGCGTCCGCAGGTTCGGCCAGTCGCGGCTCCAGGTGGCTGTGGTTCGCTGCTCCAGGCCAATGGGAGCTGCTGTAAGTGGCGATCAGTACATCCCTCAGCCCGCGCGGGCTACTCCCATTGGCCTGGAGCAGTGAACCACGGCCACCTGGAGCCGCGATTGGCCGAACCTGCGGACGCGGCAGGTAAACAAACCAGCCCGGCCCGCCAGGGGCTTTCCCCGCACAAGCAGCGGAACAAGTTTGGGAACCACTGCCCTAAATCAATACCAAATAGATAAGATCCAATTTTAAGTCAATATGCAACAATATTCTGTGGCAAAGACACTTTAAAATATCTTTTAATTCTTTAGGATGAAATGAACTGCCAAACTTTGTGGTAGCTGCTGAGGTACCCTGGCTACCCTGAGCTTATGTCTGCAGATATACATAAGAGACCTTTTGTGAAGTTTTGGGATATTTATAAAGCAGATTATGAATAGTTTTAGTCTTTCAACCCTTTTGATTTTAAGCATAAATTAATACAATTACTTTAAAATTCAAGTCACCATCTTCTTGACTTAGGCTGTCTGACAGTGAAGTATTATTCAATTTACACAGGAATACTAGCCATAAATCTATACATTACCCATTCTTAAAGCATTGTCTATTGGATCATCTTACATTTAATGTAGCAATACTTAGAACACATGTTGAGATCATCTCAACAGAACTGGTACGCTTTTGATATTGAACTCAAGAAAAATGTCTTTTTCCTAGCTAAACAATCATTCAGCTGATAGTGAATTCGTTTTTATTCTCCTTACAACAACCTTTTTGTCAGTTCAGTTCAGCACCATAGTGATGGCTTCTGTTCTACGGTAAACTTGAATGTCTCAAGGGTATAATTTGTCTTGCTTGTTGCTGAAACAGCAATCTGGTCCATTCTGTTCCTCCTTTTGATTTATGGTGCAGTGACTATAGCTGTCTTTCAAACTATGATGTAAGGTTGTCAAGACAACATTCAGACAGTTTTATGATTTTACCTAGCCAAATAGTTATCCTCTCCACACAGTTTATCTGACAGATTCAGCATGACAGCAGGTGCTTATAGAATCAGAATCTTCAAGATTTCCCATGTAAGATTTTCTGTTGTCAATTTTTTGGGGCTCTGATGGTGGCTCAAAAGCTGAAGGAGAACCCTACTGTACACCTTTAATAGATAAGTACCTTTGAAGGCACTTTATAGCATCTAGTGCAATGAGGACCTGAGACTGTTTTGTTCGGGAGCTACATTAATATGAATATTAAACAACATACAACTATACAAAAATTATGAGATATTGGACCTCGTTCTGTCCCCAAGTGACTTCAGAAGGGTTGCATGGATGTAACTCATAAAAGAATTGTGCCCAATTTATGGTTTCTATAGATCAATAAATCATTGCATGACAAATAATGCAATATCATACAATTTAATATAGCCTGCAAATCACACCAATTCAAATAGAAGATTTTGTAATTTAGGATGTAAACAGAAAATCTCTCAAACAAAAAAAAACTTCCCATCAAGATATTTAAAAATGGATCCCTGATGTTAGGCTCCTAAGTTCTTATCTTGGCACATAATTACATGACCTGATTTTCAAAAATGCTGTGCAGCAGCTCCTATTGAAGTAAGGGGGAAACCTTGGCCATTAGGTTTGCAAACATACATACAGCATTTACTTAAAAAGAAACTTCATTTTCAGTTTCTGCTGACCAACTACAGGAATATAAACTTCTCTGATGGTTGATCACATCCCCAGCACTGTTGAACTGAAATCAGAATGATAGTTTTAGGATTTTCCTTAGATCGTTCAAACTTGTTAGTTATGAGTATTATCGGTTTCAGATAGCCTCATGGCTTACAGGGATTACACTTGTAATACTTTTTAAAATTAGTTACTATAATTTAACCTAGTCTTTGCTCTGAAGTGTTTTGTTTTAAAAGGTTTTAAAATGTAAAAACAATGTTTGTTTCTCTTGATTTAAAGTGGAAACAATTATATTAGTGCTAGAACCCATTAGCACTGCCCATTTCTTATTCAATATATGAAGTTATTTAAGCGTTACAATTAGTATACCATTACATTGGGAACTAAAAATAATCTGAGAGAAACGTGTATTATTACCTGAATTATTTTAATTGATCATCCAAATTCATGGGAGTGACAGTAAGTAAATCTTATAAATCACATATTTGACAGGTGATTTTTATTATTTTTTTGATAAATTCAGACCCATGAATTTATTAAGGATGCATATTCTCAACAAAACATACTTAGATATAAACTGGGAGTTACTTTCCACCACTGCAAATTCAAATATAGCATATGCTAGAAACATGCTAAAACATTTTTTTTAACTGTACAAAAAAATGCAGAGAATACAGAGTTCTCTGGAATACATAGCAAGATTTTTTTTTTTAATTGGCCCTGATTCAAATCTGTATGAATTAGATATTCTTGATTTTTCTTTCTGGAATCTTAACTTTTTAAAACAATAAATATTCACTGAGATGTTTTGTTGTTTAACTGCTGTATAATTTATTGCTTCAAATTAAGGTTTTAGAATACTGCATCCAGTTTAAAAGTCTTTATACAATTACTTTTGTATTTTACCAGACCTAATTAAAGCCCTGATCCTACAAAGATTTATGCAAGTGCTTAACTGGCTACACAAGAGTAGGCCCAATGGGATGGGACCATTCATGTGTGTAAAGCTGAGCACAAGCATAATTCTTTACAGCATCAAGACCTTAGTCATTATTACTCTAGCAAGAATACAAAAGTTTCACACTTTCATGTACTTAATGCTGCCACTGTGTGTGTGTGTGTGTGTGTGTGTGTGTGTGTGTATATATATATATATATATATCCAATCCATGTTTGACAAGTATTTGTGATCACAATTGCAGCTGACACGATTTCATTTGGTTATGATTCCCAGCCTAGGCATGGTTTTTTTGTTTTGTTTTTTCCCCCTTGTTTTACAAACTATTTTAGCAGAGGCTGTGGTAAGACTACGGGCTTAGTAAGGTTTTAGCACAGTTTCTGAACATGAGCTCCCATACCTGCTTTCAGATCTGCATGGTTGCAAGCATATATCTGTGTGGAATCAAATGTAGAATTGGGGCCCTGGTTTGTAACTATAATTGATGTGGTGGCAAATAGTTTTATAATCAAGTTTGGCTATAATTATGTCTGAAAATGATCCCCAAAACACTTTCATAACCTAGCTGAGGACAGGACTTCACTATTACAGAACTTAAGAGTTGCACCAAGTAAACAGGGACAAAGCCAGACAAACATTCCAGCTGAAAAATCATATTCAGTTAACAAAAAAAGTGTGTATGTTCAAATTACTCAGTTCTATCCCGCAGTTGTATTATAGGAAATAACTGATTGTGGTTATTTAAGAGCACATCACAGAAGTGCACTGCATATTATGTGCTACTTTCAAATGTAGAACACTCTGCAAAGGAACTTCTCAAAGCTACATTAGTATTAGACTTAGAAAGAAAGTCTGGTCCTGGCCAGAAATAAGATTACCTTTGCTGTGGGAAGCATGTCAAGACAGTCCAATATGAATAATACTAATGCTTGCATCAGCATCATAAACTGATTGAATTGCCAAGTCAGGCTAAAGAGAAAGGTTGATATAAACACTGCCAGAAGTGTCAGTTTCTGGAAAGAGAAAGTTCTTCTGTAACTTACATATCTCCATCAATAAGTGGTGGGGAGAGGGGAGGGTTCTCTCAAGGGTTAAATTAAAAGAGTACATCTCTAAAGTTTGACACTGAAACATCTTAACTTCTAACTACAGTACTTGGATTGCAGGGGACAGCTGGTATTTAGTTTCAAGTACTCCAATTTACACACACAATTCATTTTGCAGGTGCAAAATTGCAGTAGCAAATTTTACAGTTGTAATTTCACCTGGAAAAAAGGCTAGGTCTCAGCTTAGCTTGAAAACTTATCTGATAGGCTCACGTGGGGTACGATGTGTTTTGTTATCTTGACCAAATCTGAAGTAATGACTTAAAACTGACAGTTGCACAAACTGTATCCTGTACATGCTTTTACTTCTACAACTCAGGGTTACCTCTTAATTTTTTTAAATGTAAAATAAATTAAAGTAGGGAAAAAAACTTTCACCTTTGGGCTTTGCAAGCCTTTTTCCTAACCTCTCTTTGGGTGACACACTTATGACATCCAAATACATAAAACTCTCCTTCTTGAGCTCTGTACAGTTTTCCTTTCAACAGTGAAATTTTTTTTAAAAAACAGATTTCTTTTGCAATTTTTTTTCAACCCTGAGTGCATTTATCAGTGTTTGCACCCCTTCATAGTTCAATTATTTGTTTAAATTAATTGCAAGCTCCTCAGAGTAACAATTCTTTCTACCATCTATTTGTATAGTGCCTTGTACATTTCCATCACTATATTTAATAATAGTGCGTTCCTTCTGATTTATAGGAAGCACACACTTCTGTTTTCAGCAGCTCTCCTGACATTTCAGATACTAGTTTTGTTATATCAAATATGTTAGAAATACTTACTTCATGAAGAGGTTGTAAATGAGATCTGAATAGGTATGTGATTGCTGCTATCTGAACTGCAAAGAATGGCAGTGCCCAGTTCTCTCTTAATGGAATGGTGAATTCTACTCTTGTGGTATCTATTCTGCACAAAACAAATGCAGAGATTCATAAATGCAACCAAAACCCAGTCTCCTGCACAGAAGATTTCAATTAAAATTGAAAGTGTATTTGGAAAATCATATCTAGGCTCCTGCAAATTGTTTCTGACCAGACTCCTAAATGGTGAGTCCTCTGAACATCCCCAGCCCTGAAAACTTGCCAAGAGGAGCATCCAGGGATTAGTTCATTCATGACCAAAATTTCTTCCTTTTGAATCTTTAACTCCACTTGTTTTCAGATAGCTGTTACTGTGGAGCCAAACCTCCTCTTGGGGAGCAGAGTTAGGGGAATCTAAAGAAAAGTGTTGGCACTTTTCAGGTCAATGGCAATATATTTCTCCTCAGTTTGGCTTTCAGGAGGCATAGCTGAATAGATAGCCGTCATTTTCCTCACTGTAATTCAAGTGCATTTTCCTCACTATAATTCAAGTGCATTGTATTAATGGCATGACTGAATCCCATTGAATGGACAGCAAGAGACTTCTTGCCTTTCCTGAAACATTCTGACACTGGAAGTGTTATTATCAAAAGACAAGGGCAACCACCCAGCACAGTCATTTCCAGAATCTCAGACAAATGTAAATAATCCCATGTCCATTTCTCCTTATGTAGCTGAAGTAAGTGGAAAATAGAACAACCTGTTTATCTGAACCATTCTTGCCTGCAAGACCCTAGTACTTCAAACAGTAATTCCATGACCCTAGATGTACACCCTTTGGACAGAAACTCCCCATTATCCAAATTGGTCCCATCTACTCATTTTATCTGGCTAAGTAACATCCTTCTACTGTACACTATTTATTAGAAAGTTGGAGAGGAAACAAGTCCATTCCAAGTCTTCCATATGTGGAAAAAATGACCTCTTAAATAAATACATGAACTACTATCCACGGTTTGAAATGTTAATCAGCAGTTGTGACTACTGTAAAGGAGTTTGACTGTAAGCAAATCAGTTACAAAGTGATTCCTTATAGTTATCTAGTGTTTTTAGTGTTCTAGAGGAGAGAGTAATTTTAAACACCTTTGGGACAGCTTTGATAGTACTGACATACTTTTATTTTCTTAAGTTTCAGAAAACAACTGAAAGTTCAAGAGCCAGCCTCACTCAAGCTGGTGGTAGGGCAATGCAAAGCAGCTAATCTGATCCCTTAAGGAATCCTCAATTCAGGGAATCCTTAGGTGCCATAGCAGCACAGCAGGTCCTATGCCACCTTTTCCCTGACCCACAATGCAAGAGGTGTATCTATAGGGGAACAAAGGAAGTGGTTGGGACATAAATTCTGGTCACCCTAAGCTCTTGGGGCTGTGGTGCATCTGGCATAAGTAACCGCACCTCTTAGAGTACTTTGACTTGCACTGAGGGGATATGAGGCTGGTACAGAAGGGCTGCACAATGTGGGAAGTACATAGGTGGCTAAAAGCCACTTGGGAACTCCCACTTCAGTCTAGTCCCAAAAGAGCTTGGATATGCCATATTTTTAGAGAGTTTCCTCAAACTTTTGACTCTATCTCAAACATTAGATATTATTATTAAATATCTGGCTGATCTAAAGAGAGAGCCTCTCTGCTGTTTTATGCTCTCCCTTACTCCCAATTTAATCCTAGCAATTGACTGTTTAATATATGTCTGAACCTTATGTGTCAGAAACTAAAACTTTAGAAGGGTCACATGTTAATTCACACTCACCTGTTCGTAATATACCAGAAAGCTGCTAACAAACCTGAAAGCCATGTTCCACTAAGAAGCCAACTGGTTACATACAGAGCAATGACATAAAGTGCCTGAAGTCCAAACAAAGTGTAGATATAAAAATAAACAGGCTCTAAATACTTCTGTAAAACAGAGGAATATTGAAGTTAAATTATTTCCAGTATTTTATAAAATTTATGTGAATTTAAAGGTAATGTCTCAACACTTTTTTGCAAAATAACAATACAAATAATCAGTGTTAAAGACAAGTAAAATGGTATAAAAACCCAATACATTTTTTCAAAAATACAAGATTTATGACCCAGTGATTCAAAAATCTATTTTAAGTGCCTAAATGTAGTTTACTGATAGTCCATAATAATATGAAGGGCTGTTAAGCAAACACTTCCAAAGCTACCTGTTTAAAGTCCCATCTTACACTCTTGTGAAGTCTCCACCTCTCAATACTCTGCCCACTCACAGGGAGGGAACTCATCTGCAATAGCTACAAGGATCTTCACATCCCTTTACCCACAAGGGTGAGGTGAGCTGCTAGCCAGAAAGAATGTATTAGGAAGGCTATATTTGCTCCTCTAGTGAAATGAAGCAAGCTACGAGAGTTCCCCCACAGTCCTGGCATACCACACAGCCGCAGCATCACTTGGCCAGACCTATCCTGATTCTTAAAACCCTGAGTGCATATGTGCACGTGTACACACACAGACTGTTTAAAGCTTTAAAATGACCATAAAGGGTCTTGTTCCTTTTGCAGGTGCAAATCCATAATGGCAGCCACAAGTGGATAATTCCAACCACTTTTAAATCTTTAAAATTTGGTTTTCCTATTATATTCATGTGTGGTTGCATTGAAAACTAAGTAGTTTTTATTTTTATAGATTTAAAACAATTGCAGGAATATATTTATCCTTAGAAATTAACCAAAATTAGGTTTCTCGTTCACTGGGAAGCTTCCATATATAGTTATTTATTTAAAGCCATAATTAAATATCTACCTGAATGGGAAGAATCCTATACAGTATGCTGAGAAACACCTCCTGGTAAACATTCATTCTTTCAAGTATGTTAATTGTCCTCAGAGATTCAGTTTTATTGTCATATATTAAGCCATGTAAACCTAAAGGTTAAAAGAGAAATTAAAATAGAAGAATATATTTTCAGCTGTACAGTGAAAAGTTCACAAGTGTATTTTAAGATCTTTTATGGAAAACTTTGCAAAGCATTACGTCAAGGATTCAAAACATGTTTTTATATCTGGTTCAGTTACTAAAATCTAAAACTTTTATTAAAGTTAATTTTCCCACTTTGAGAGCAGTGTAGACATACCCTAAGACTCATGGCATGACCACGGCTGGCCCAGATCAGATGACTTGGACTCACAGGGCTTGGGATGCAGGGCTAAAAATTGCAGTGTAAACATTAAGGCTCGGGCTGGACCCCAGGGCTCTGGCCCAAGACCAAAGGTCGACACTATTATTTTTAGACCCAGAGTCAATTTACTCAGGCTCTGACACTTGGTGCTGTGGTGTTTTTTATTTTTTATTTTTTTAATATTAGTGTTTATGTACCCTTAGAATGGCGATTACTGGACTGCTATACAGTGAATGTAATACATTACTAAATATACAGAATGTCAACATGCAATATTATGCCTATTTTCATGATGCTGTGGACACTGCAATAATAAATGATGTTTGGAGCACTACACTTGGGACATTAATACTGGGATCATGAGCCATTCACTTTTAGGTCACTGCTTTAAAGACAGCTGAGATTGGTATTGATGAAATTGTTACCAACCATACTAGTGGTTAGGTAGCATAAGGAAAATTAATTGGGAGTCTCAGTCCAGTGTCTTGAAGACAAGACACCATCACAAATAATCCCAATAGGCATCATAGTAGATATTATTTATCTGTTTTGCAAGAATACCTAGAGGTCTCAACCAGGCATTAGGGCCCCGTTTTGCTAGGCACTGTACAAATATTTAGACAAAAAAAGTCCCTTCCACCAAACAATCTACCTATGACACAAACCATGGATACAAAAAAAAAAAAAAGGGGGGGGGGGGGAAGAAAAAATAAAAGATGGAAAAAAAAAAATAATAAAAAATAAAAAAAAAAAAAAAATTCCCTCAAACAAAACAATTTACATATAAAAAAAACAAAAAAAAAAAAAAAAAAGGGGGGGGGGTGTAGAACACAGCATAGTATTGACTATTCTAATTACTGTAATAAGCAGTTACAGCATATCAAATGCTTAGCCACTGTTGAGTAAAACAATGAGGCAAAACACTAAACAGGTATGGAAATATCACTCTTAGGAGTGATTTCACTTTCTCACTGGGTGGTACATCGGAGGAAACAATGTACCATTCCAAAGCTTATATTTCCACTATCTAAACTATTCCTGCCAGGGCCGGCTCTAGGCACCAGCAAAACAAGCTGGTGCTTGGGGCGGCACATTTTTAGGGGCGGCATGGCCGGCGCCAGAATGCCGCCCCTAAAAATGTGCCCCGGCCGCCCTAGCTCACCTCCGCTGCCGCTCGCGCGCCGCTACTCGCCCTCCCTCCCAGGCTTGAGAGCCTGAGAGGGAGGGGGAGAAGCGGCGCCCGCGCCGCGGCCACTCGGAGTCTCCCCCTCCCTCCCAGGCTCTCAAACCTGGGAGGGAGGGGGAGATCCCGAGCAGCCGCGGCGCGTGAAACAGCCGTTTCGCGCGCCGCTGCTCTCCCTCCCAGGCTTGAGAGCCTGGGGGGAGGAGGCAGGGCTGGGGATTTGGGGAAGGGGCGGAGTTGAGGCGGGGCCGGGGGGTGGGGGTAATTAAAAAACGGGGGGGGGAGGGGCGGCCAAAATTGTTTTTGCTTTGGGCGGCAAAAATCCTAGAGCCGGCCCTGATTCCTGCTTGGTGGATGAATCAAACAAATTTGTGTCTAGCATGATTATTACAGCACCTTTCAAAAACATTATATTCACTTTTCACTTTATTAAAAACAGCATTTCGTCAAAGCAAAGTAAAATTTACTTTATACATTACAAATACCTTGTTGGATGGATGTAGCCTGCAGCATCTCTTTGTAATAGGAGTAATACAATCCACATTCAGTCCTGAATGAAATTTCCCGTTCTACTTCCTGCAAATAAGTTAGAAGCCCTGCTACTTAAGATACAATCATTCACCAGAGCTTATGTTTACATATCAATACTGTGGAACATGACTTGCTTCAGCAAACTCTGGGCCTGATCCTGTAAGTCCTATTCACATGAGCAGTCCTTTCTCACATTTTGACCCATTAATGTCAACATGAGAGAATTACTCAGAGTTAGAATTGTAAAAATGGGCCCTTGGGTAAAGAGACAGCTAGTGTGGAATGCCCATTTGTTAAATGGTTTCTTGCAGGGAGCTAGCTGGTTCAACACTTTATACTTAACTTTATAGGTTAAAAACAACACTGGCCTCCTATTTGTTTTCACATTCCAAATTAAGGTGTTAGTTTTAATCTATAAAGCCTTAAATTTGTTTGAGTTCTCAGTATCTCAAAGGTCTGATTTTTGTCTCTTTGGCTGATGCTGCAGCAGCTGAGACCTGAGGCATTCAAACTTACAATGCTTTAGTTTAGACAGAAGGGGATTTTCAATAGGGGACCTCTACTTGGGAATTCACTTCCTTCCATTAGTTCATGAGTCTTGTGCGCTTAATGAGGTTTATACACATGCTCGGAGCCATGGATGAGCACACTTTGACAAATTAAAATATGGAAAACAAAATATCATGCGGTGAAATCATTTAGTTTTTCATTTTATCTTACAAATAACAGTGACCTTTAGTGCCTAAATTAATTTTTTTTTTAATTTTGTATAGTTTACAAAACTAGAAAGGGTTTATCCCTATATTTTTGACTCCACATATGGCAATCTCAACATGAAGAAATCCTAATAAGATTCCTAAAGCTAATCCTATTAATTCATCTTCCTGTACAAAAGCACATTGCTGAAATAGCTGAATGGCCTTACTTTCTCAGCTTTTATGGTACCATTCTTGTTAATTGTGTAGCATCCTAAGACTTGCATTTCCTTTACACAGTCATGCTGATTCTCTTATCTCCTAATGTTGGAAAAGAATCAATGTTGGTTCAGTGCTAACATAAAACTAAACAAAAATGGCTTCCTCTTCCCCAATGTAGAATCTTGTTGCAAAAACCACATTTTGCTGAAGTCAACTGTAGAGAAAAATAAACCATTAGAAGCTCTCCATGTAGCTGCTCTAAACTGATGAAAGAGAGCTCTCCCGTTGGTTTAATTACTCCAGTCCCCACCACATAGAGGTAGTTATGTTGGCGGGTGAAACTCTAACTTACGTTGACTTAAGCTGTAGTGCAGCCATAGCCTACATCCTTCAAAATGTCTTTTCACATGTAAATTTACTTTCATAAAATATCTTTTAAGAATGTCTTAGAGCTCTTAGAAAACATTTATGTTAGGAACACTGTAGATTCTGTGATAAACATTGCACAAGTTCAACATACAATAGTAAAACATGCACTCAAAGTGTTTACCCATAACAATATATATTTTTATTGACATAGCACACTAAGAAAAGTATAAATTGCCATCGAACTGGAAAAGTGTTGTGAATGAGTAAAGCAGATGTTATCTTAGCATGAAACAGATGTAAAACTCACTAGTGTTTGTGTCGTAAAATATAAATAGCATTTGGTTGAAGACAGCTGGTGCAAGGATTACATATTAATCATGTTTGAATGCATTTTTGCTAATTAGATCCCCCTCTGTGATTACCTTCCCCCCCTTAATAAATTCCAAGTGTTAAAAATTCCTTCTACTTTAACACTTAAAAATGTTGCTTCTGTTTTGAGAGAACTTTTTTGTAGTAGTGGTGAATTTAAAACTAGAAATTGCAGCTATCCCATCTTATGATCTGGTTCAATTCTATTCGTTTTGCTTAGTATGATATTAAATACATCGCTACCCCGCTATAACGCTGTCCTCGGGAGCCAAAAAATCTTACCGCATTGTAGGTGAAACTGCGTTTTATATTGAACTTGCTTTGATCCGCCAGAGTGCGCAGCCCCCTCCCCGAGCACTGCTTTACCGCGTTATATTCGAATTCATGTTATATCAGGTCGCGTTATATCTGGGTAGAGGTGTACTAAAAGGCACAAAGTCAATGTAGTCCACTGACACTGTAATGTTTTAGTATACTGGAATGCAACTGGAGAGTTTGTGTGGACTATGGTGATTCATACATTAGGAACAGCAGAAATTTCCATGGCAGATTATGATGCAACATATCAACCATGCTCAATAATATTTGTTACAGTTTCAGGGCAATTGCACCTGTCTTTCCCCCAATGTGGGCCACAAATGGCATCCACTTAAAGTCTTCCAGCTCCTAGCCATCACCTCTGCCTGGTGGAAACCCACACCTCACTCCTTTCTAACCATGCATTTTTAAGGCTCCACAATTTCTTGCCTTACTCTGTGATATACCCAGCAAGCTAGAATACCAAAAAAAGACCAGCGCCTCTGTTCTACTTTCTGTCCAAGGGCTATGACCAGTATATTGCCCACAGTTCCTTCTAAACAAGCACATTTATTTTTAAGGTAAAAGTATTACAGAGAAAAGACATTAAAATAATAAAAGAACCTATACATATGCAAAAAAGCTTACCAGATGTCATCTCCTATTACACCCTAGGGCTCTGGTAGGTTTTAGTCCTTCAACACCCACAGCTGGGTTTTCCCCGTGGTTGGAAATTCACCCATGTTAGATCCAGAACTAAAACTCAGACTGGACAGATCAGCCATTTCTTTAAACGGCTTTGGCCTTTAATCTCAGCCTTCTGTAACAGGTAACCAGTCAACAATGGTTGACTGGCATAGCTTCAAAAGGCTGGGTTTTTGCATTACCTGAGTTGGGGATTTGCATTATTCTCTCCCAAAGAATTCCCCTGGAAACTCACTTAACATTTACTGTCTCAAAAGTCCATACTTATCTGGCACATTTTCAATGTAGTCTTTTGAACTCAAGTCTTTCATTTATTGCAGTATTAAGCAATGAAAACAACATACAAAAGGGCTCTAGTCACAGTTAACAGTGAAAGTCCTTAGATTCCAGAACAAGTTTCCTCAACCCTCTAAAGCAAATCATACCAAATTTAGGAAAACAGATAAAATGAATTGAAGCTTTTTATATAAAACAGCACAAATATGGACCTAATTACACTGACTGCCTTCATCCAGCATTCTTTGATCTGATTTAACAAGGCCAAAGCATAGTTTGTGTAGCTGAAAAAATATATATATTTTGTTTTCAAGTCTTAAATTTCAATGCAGATCAGTCAGATTAGCAAATCTCTTCAACTATACAAGTGGAAACTCAATATAGACAGCTGCTATCAATGTTCCAGGCTGTGACTCATGCCCTCAGCAAACATATTTAATGCACATACATGGTCTTTTGGCTGATTAACCTCCTGTCCATCTGTCAGAATGGCATGGCTCCTGCTCAAATGTTGATTAGACTTTTGATATAGGGTATGGGTGCCAAGCAACATCTTCAGGAGGAAAGTACTGAAGTATTGATCCAGCTTGGTTTTTTCCTAATGGATTACACCTGTTCACTTGGGTTATTAATGAACTTTGAATACTAGCTTCCTGCTCCTTTGTTCATCTCTATTAGAGATTTAGCATGTGAAATGAGAAGACATAAGCACATGATTAGCCAGAACAAGTGAGAACATCGGGACTCAAATACTGCTTATGCTTTGTGCCTAATTATCATCTTATCTTCGCTGGTGCAAATTCATTGATGTAAACAGAATAACACTAGATTAAAACTGATATGAAAGGAGAATCAAGTTTTACTTCTGTTCTAATTCTCTGATGTTCATACTAGAGCTCATTCCCTGAGAAAAATGTAAATTGTGAGTTCATTTGCTGTTGCAGAAATGACACATGGGAAGATACACTGGGCATTTGGGGTGTGTGTGTGTGTGTGTGTGTGTGTGTGTGTGTGTGTGTGTGTGTGTGTGTGTGT